ATTGTATTAATTTGTTTGTTTGTTTGGTTATTACCCTTAGGCTCTTGGAGATGAAGTAAAAAGCATGCATGGATTGAGGATTTTTACCACAGTTCCTGGAGAAAAATAACCTTCAACACTGTAAATTTTAAAATTCCTAATTGTGAGGGATATCATTCATTTGATACACTGTTCAAAGCAGTGTTGCCAAAATGATAATAAAAAAAGGTTACATTGCTGCGGCCTCCATTGTGGCATACAGACTGCAAGATACTGTTGTATGTCTCATAAAATCTTTTGACCAGGAGCTACATGTAACTGAGTTTGGGCTGTACAAAGGCAGACAACTCTCAAGTGCCAAGGATGAAATATAACTGTTGTTTGAAAGAAAATATGATCCACTGAGAAAGTATTAATTCCTCTTTCCTAATGGAGACCTCTGGACTAGCTGACACTTGCCTGTAGTGACTACTTGTACATCTAAGTCGTTACCCTGGATGGACATGCATGAAAGGATTTTAACTGGACACCTCCCTTATGCAGTGACCTGACTTCATTTCATGTCCAGTATATGGGTCACTTAGCTTACACATCTGGTAATAATGGTAGGTTGTACTGTGTAATTTGGAGTGATAAACACTAACGATGAAAGTTGTAACTGTGCTAGTCCCATGGCTGATCAGCAACTAACTTCTTGTAACTACATGTATACAGGGCACCAGTGAGAGAAATAAACTGAAGAAAGAATCACCATGATGGGTATATTTTATTTTAATTTAGTTTACAGATCCTCTTGATACCTTGAACTTGTATGTATGACAAAAATGTATAGGACAATAGGCCAATTTTGGTATATTAAAATTCTAACTCAAGTGGCTCTGAGGCTTGCGGGAATAAAACAAAAGAAATTAATCCCTTGACCTCAATGTGATTTGCTTTCTTTTATTCCCCCAAGCCTTGGAGCCAAGTTAGAATTTTAAAATATATCGAAAATGGCCTATTAATTTGTTTTACATGCCAACTTCCTGTTAAGTGTTTGGTATTCCAAAAAATACAGAATTCCTAGAAGTGTAAAAAATTTGCATTTTATGTACATTATTATTTGTTGTAAAATAAATAAATAATTAAAACTGGCCTTATAAACGACTCTGATAAGTACACATATCTTGAATTGTAACTTGAAAACTCGTATAACTCTTAGTCAATCAAATCTACATGTGTTCTTTGAAAACTCATAACAAAAGTCAGTGAAATCTAGCTATTTAAACTGTGCTGTTCTCTGATGGTTTTCATCTCTTCTCTGATGCTGAAAGTGAAAAAGCAAAAACCAAGTTAGCAGTAAGTCAATCAAGCAAAATCTGAAATTGAAATCCTAATGGAATGGTTACATCTTCTGGTGCCTTTGATTATCTTCAGAAACAAAAGTGCATCATCTGTGGGTTGNTGGTAATAATGGTAGGTTGTACTGTATAATTTGTAGTGATAAACACTAACGATGAAAGTTGTAACTGGGCTAGTCCCATGGCTGATCAGCAAGAAAGAATCACCATGATGGGTATATTTTATTTTAATTTAGTTTACAGATCCTCTTGATACCTTCAACTTGTATGTATGACAAAAATGTATAGGACAATAGGCCAATTTTGGTATATTAAAATTCTAACTCAAGTTGCTTTGAGGCTTGTGGGAATAAAACAAAAGAAATTAATCCCTTGACCTCAATGTGGTTTGTTTTGTTTTATTCCCCAAAGCTTTGGAGCCAAGTTAAAATTTTAAAATATATCGAAAATGGCCTTAAGTGTTTGGTATTCCAAAAAATACAAAAATCCCTAGAAGTGTAAAAAATTTGCATTTTATGTACATTATTATTTGTTGTAAAATAAATAAATAATGAAAACTGGCCTTATAAACGACTCTGATAAGTACAAATATCTTGAATTGTAACTTGAAAACTCCTATAACTCTTAGTCAATCAAATCTACATGTATTCTTTGAAAACTCTTATAACAAAAGTCAACGAAATCTAGCTATTTAAACTGTGCTGTTCTCTGATGGTTTTCATCTCTTCTCTGATGCTAAAAGTGAAAAAGCAAAAACCAAGTTAGCAGTAAGTCAATCAAGCAAATTCTGAAATTGAAATCTTAATGGAATGGTTACATCTTCTGGTGCCTTTGATTATCTTCAGAAACAAAAGTGCATCATCTGTGGGTTGCTTGTGTGATTAGTAGACTCGGACAAATAAACCATCTTGAAGACATGCTGACAGACAGATCGGCTGAAGATAAATTTGGCTACTTACAGTAATTCATCATCAACCAGATTTATACTAAGAGGATTTATCGGTCTTATGCAGACAAATTACCCATCTCAGATGGCTAATTTTTTTCAGTTGAATAATTCATCCCTAGTTGACAACTGCATTGCTAAAAGGGAGGTTGGGTGCCTGAGACATCCAGGAGTTTCCACTATTGGCAGCCAGCTCCAAGATGAAGACTTCTCCCATGGCTGGCAAATCCTGGCAACCTAGCCATGAGCCCCCATGCAGTAAAAGGAACAGGCACCCGTCACACTGTTGAAACAGTGGGAGGAGAGAGGGAAAATGGTGGGAGGGGAACTGCCTGGGCGATGAGCTGCCACAGCACAAAAATGCCAGAAAATGCCTCCTGTATGTACGCCACGTTATGATCCACGAGCATGTGGAATTCCAACACATGCGCACATGTGTCGACACCGCTGACTACCAGGGGAACGCAAGAGCTCTTTGTTGTTAACTCCGTTAAATTGCATTTAACTGCATTACAAATTCAGCCAATGTATCAACAGAAATTTATGACACTCAGGATTGACCATCTCTCTTACTAACATGAAGTGGAGAGGAAAAGATTCTCTTTAAAAACTGTACGTCTTGTTGTTAAAAGAACATACCTTAGTAGTAAAGGCTTGAAGTGATGATTGATCTCTTGTTTTGTGAGCTCGACCACTTCTTGTATGGAATACTACGGACAAGAAAAAGTTATTTCACTCTAAATATTTTGGTCATCAGCTCATCTAAAGACTAACAGTGTATTTGAAGGATTACAAAGCCTGATTAAACATCTTGGCCAGAGAAGAGCAAAAGAACAAAGTCTGTAGAGTAGTACAATAATTGCTCCCCCTTCCTCTGTTCATGAAAATGAACCTGTGCTTCTCCATCTTGAGGACAAATGGAGAGTTGACTTAAGAGAGAGCAGTATGTGTTGTACGACATACATGTGTGTACTGCTTGCATTGAGCTTTAAATGTAGCAAATAACTCACCATAAACCCAATAGATATATATAAATACCTGCACTAAACTTGCTTGTCTTCTAAAATAGCATTTTCCCTCCTCATCCTCAAACACTGGATGTAGGTTAAGGTGAAGCTGACCCTTTTCTGTTTTCAGCTGTTGGTCCCTCCAAGGAAAGACCGTGATTTCCACCACATAGAAAGAAGCAACAAATCCCTGAAAAGAAATATAATTCTGAACACTATTCTGAGTGTGTTAAAGTAGATAGTAATACTGGCAATTGTGTTAGTCACACAATGGTATACTGTGAATTCAATCAACTGGACTGAGTAGTCACGATACATGCTCCTATAAGTAACCTGTACATACAATGCCATGCATCTGTGAAATGTTAAGTCCTGTACCTCAGCAAAATGATTCATAGCATCTTTGTCACACCAGCAATAATCAGATGTCCTCAAGAGATGAGGCCTTAATCGATTACTGTCGACTTCATCACACCTAAATACAAAAGACATACATCGTACATTTGAATTTTCATTCAGTCTACTTGCACACTGATGTGATCAACTGTGTTTCAAGTGTCTTGAGAAACATCATGTTCCTTCAAGAACAACACTTGAGGATCTCATCTTTTGTGATGAGAGGACTTTGTATGAAAAACATTTAGTGATTTACACATATGTTGAGTACAGCACGTTAATGAGTGTCAACTCGCTTTTGATGCATCCTTTGTTTTCCACTTCTTGAACCTTCACACCACTGTGAAAGATAAACATTGCAAGCCACCAACTAATAGGACACACACAAGGTACATGTACAGGTATTTATTATATTGCTAGGTCTGTGACCAGGCAAGATGAATCAAATCCTGCACTGTGATTGGCTACCCAAGTGGGCAAGATGGAGCTATCTTGCCCTCTTGGGACTACCCGCTGTGTCCTGGAAGAAAAATTTTCCCGAAAGCCGTATGATAAATCCTTTATTGACCAAGCTTATTCGGTCAAGATGGCTGGATATTGGCCTCATCCTTTTTTTGCAAGTTTATGGACCTTGACTCCGTCTCGGTCCATAAACTTACAAAAAAAGAATTTGGCCAATATCCAGCCATCTTGACCTCACACTTGGTCAATAACCCATATGTATGTGTATAATTTATGGTTAAAATTAAAATATGTTGGTTATCAACACCTTCCTACATGCAGTAGGCCATGTGTTAAATAAGCAGTTTTAGTTTTGGATCATTAAGCTAAAGTAATGTATGTACTCACCTATCATTTTCAAGATCAAGTGCAACAGAATCTATATCCTCATCAGTGCCTATTACTGGTACAATTTCCACCTTGATATATAAGACAAGGAAGCACATACATGTACTTAATATAAAGAATAACATGCACATCCAAGGAATTAAAAAAAATACATCACTATTTAAACAAAAGACAATGAAAAAAATTATTAATTAAAGTAACAAATACTATTAATTTTTCATGATCATGTACAGAAATTTTGTGCCTAGAGTGTAAAGTCTGACCATTGAAAATAATGTAATCCCATTCAGACCAATTGTGAAAATGTAACTATTAACAAGAAAATTGTGTCTATCCACAAGACAGTATTAAAAATTAACTATAAATAACCCTGACCCATCAATAATTTACAACATTTGTGCAAGTGTTCAAATTCTGTTTCTTTGAGTACACAGTCACTGCTTACTTTGAAATATTCTTCAGGGACTGCAGGGGTGTATCTACTCAGAGCATCTTTCACTGCAATTCTCACATGATCTCTCTGCATATAATTAACACATCATTACAAGTTGTAAAATACCATTTGCCAAAAAAATTACCAATGTTTATACATGTATATTACTGTATAATACAATCCCAATTTTAAGTTAATACATATACATATGTAATTGGCCAATTATGATACTTAAAATTCTAACTTGCATTGGTGCGAACGCTTAGGGGAATAAGACAAAAGAATTCAGAATCAAGGTTGAGGGATGAAGAAATTATTTCTTTTGTTTTCCCCTAAGCCTCAGTACCAAGTTAGAATATCAATATATCGAGACTGTTCTATGGTACAGTATGCATGCCCATGCACAGAGAACAGTTTTAGCTGTTCAAATATACTTTTCTATCTGACTGGCAACAAATTTTACTATAAATTTTACATTTTACATTCAGTTAAAATGTGCAGCTTGTGGCCTTGATACCCATTCTTTCTCCAAGAAAGTGACGTCTTTTGTTCCTGAAATCCTCCACACACACTTACTTGTAACTTATTGCATGCTAAGAAAAGAAAGAGACTGCTTGCAGTCTATGTCTAAAGAACTGTAGACATTTATTTTAATGAGGTTCTTTTCCAGCCCAGACCAGCATGTCCTTACTCCTGGTCACTATCATTCATGTAAGTCTGGATGTGTGATATGAGCCCACAAACATTCTGATCAGTAACTGTTGACTGAGCATGCACAGTAGCTCACCTGGTATTGTGTCAAGTGTAATCCTTTCACTTTACCGTCATCTACAATTCCAAGATAAATGGTTCCTCCCTTTCCTGTGTTCAGGAAGCCATTAATGTTTCTGAAATTCAACAAAAACCATTTACTATTGTATTTCAAGCAAACGTATATATGTTCAGTGATTATCGTGCACAAAATATCCAAGAGTTCCAAAAAGCCACATACATGGTAAAATTATGCATATCCATGTAATTTTAATTAAATCTATCTTCTCCATATCAATGGTTGAACAAAATTCACAAAATTGTTTGCCTACTGGTAATTTATCCCACTCTCCCAGCTTGCTAGGTTTATATAGTTTTCTTTTTCTTTTCGCTATGAATAGATCAGAATAGTATTTGACAGATTCTGAAGCGCACGCATCAAATTGCAATTGAAACACAAGACAAAAGAATTCTCTGAAAAAAAAAAAGAAAAAAAAGAAAAAAGCCAGTTCAAAGAATTGAAAAGTGCACGATCACGTGACGGTCGACCGGTTTGCGTGCGTTCGAAGGACAAGTCCACTTTAAAACATAAATAATTCCGCGACATTATCAGTGGGAGATTATTGCTTCATAAAAGATAAGGAAATCTTTCTCCAATGCAAACTTCCGCCGTTTATGACAGATCTAAAGGTTATAAGATTCCCGGGAAGATTAATAAACTTACCTTGAAACTGCCTTTCGTGATCGCCTATCAGTTCCCGGAATATAACACCATGGCGGCAGTTCCTCTACACTTATGTTCCTGTGGCCTTTAAACTCGTGTGTAGAATCTTCTTCAAACGGAACAACTGAATTTTTGATATAAAAACGGCGAGATATTTCAGAAAAACGTGTCATCTTGTATCAGGGCGCTGAGGCCGCCATATTGATTTCTTTACCCGACCTAGGCCCCGGACTAGCCTCGCTTTGACCACAACCCGCTTTTCAGGATTTCCTTGTGTCTGTTCGAACCGCCGCCATATTCTTGCAATATCTAACGTTGGAATTGGCCTTTTTTGTGGTATTTGCCTTTGTTCTTCTCAAGATTTCGCGTATGAAATCCTGAAAAAATATTTCTTCGGTGATTGATAAAGTAATTTCTAGAAAATAGCCGACAAGCGTTGCTAGAATTGTCGCCGCAAATTGTACAAAGAGAAATATTGCCGGTGCCTTGGAACAACGCCGGTGTGTTCGCTCGAGACGAATGTGCAGTGCTTACAGCCAAGAGTGGAAAGGCGAAAACTCCCCGAAACTATAAGTCGCTCAGTCCTCTGGCCACTGTATCGGAGCTGGAGTCAAAGAACATATTATCTTTTGAAAACAGCGGAGAAGAAAACGCTGTGTAAAACTATGGCTAACACAGCTCGTGCTAGAGTATACTCGGATGTAAATGTGCATCGGCCAAGAGAGTATTGGGATTATGAATCTCATGTTATAGAATGGGGGTGAGTATTTTCACATTTTAGTTCGTTAATTAAATGATAAATGAGTGTAGTAAACATATGCCATTTACAACAAGGTTCAAATGTAAGATGTTTAATTCAAGCTTGGTGAGCCGAACGCCTGGCCATGTCTTTGGACATGCACAAGACAACCAACGTGGCTGATTGTTGAAACTAGGCGGGAGTGAAGAAACGGTCTGCAAGCTGAGGATAATAATAAATTCTTGCTGTCCCTGTATATCGTTTCTTCACTATATATAAGTATAAATATATATGGCTCGGCGCTGGTAATGCTTCTGTTGTCAAACTTCATGTGTCATTCCAAACATGAATGACGTCTAGCTCAGAATCGTGTTAGTACATGAAAAAATGGGCATGATTTAAGACCGTGCAGCGAGGTTTTAGTTTGTTTTAACGTGGTCGTAAGTGTATCAGTCTGTTTTACTGTTGACTAAAACTTGAATGTAAAAATATTCCTTTTTGCCTAAATTATAATTAAGCCTTATTTTGTTTTAGTGCTGTAATTAAGCTCTGATATTTTTATGCAGGGTTACCATAGTGCTCAATCCTTTACGATTTTCGTCAACATTGTTTGTTTTAATTTATTGAGGAGAAATAAGTAGAATTCCAAGCCCTAAGTTTACTGGCATGTCATATTTTGTGGTCCTGTGTTGTGATTTACTGTGTACCTCTTACTGATTTACTTATCACTTCCCCAACTCAGTGGGTTGAAAGAAATAAATATTTAATGAAATTCAACAGAAGTTAGCTTCTTAAGTCCTGCATTTCAAAGAGGCCTAGAAAACAATTTCTCTTTGTGAAAACGTCTCAATGACTATAAACACGAAACATTTTTTTTTTGCCTCATGTAATCAAGCAAATTATTAAATACAGCTCAAATGTAAATGATGCAATGCAGTTGTAGGATTATTTTATTCATTTGCGTATATGTACTTGTTTTCCACTGTTTACATGTAATTAATTTTTATACCTTACTTTTCCCTTGACTCACTTAAATGCAACAGTAATAGATACACACATGAGACACGTAAAATTATATTGTAAAGAAACCATTGTACACTGTACATACATGTACATTTACTTGAGCAAATGAAACTGCTACCACGTTTAAGTTCTGTTTACAACATTTCTTGGAAAGTTGGCATCAATGTTTTGCTAGTATAGTGTGACTGAATTATCACAGTCACAAAGTAAATGGTAAAAGCTGTTTTTTACTAGCGCATAAGCATAAATTATGGTACTGATATGCATAAACCGACATATGTAGGCACAGTAAGATGTTGAGACTATGCTTTGTTCGGACAATTTCCTAACAAAAGGTGCTACTTAACAACTCCTTACTGCATCTGGGTTTGTTGCTTATGTATGTTGCTTTTGTATTTTTAGCACAATTTATGCTCTTTATAGATCTTTGTTTTAGTTTGTTAGCTTCTTTTTATGTAAAGCACTTTCAAATTTTTCACACTATGAGCACTATATAAATGTATAATTATTATTATTATTATTTATATGTATGAGTAAATATCAACGCTAACAGTACCCATATACATGCTCAAGTTTTACTAATGCATGTATGTTTATCTGTAACTGCTACTGTTTCACAAGCTACATGTAACAGTACCTAATGAAGAAACTCTTTCGTGTAGGCAACAAGATAGCTATGAACTTGTTCGCAAACTGGGTAGAGGAAAATATAGTGAAGTCTTTGAAGCGATAAACGTCTCAAATGAAGAGATTGAGAAAGTGGTAGTTAAAATTTTAAAGGTTAGTTGTCTTTGTGGTCAACTGTTAGAGAAATACATGTACTGTATTTGTAATGTTCAAATCAATGTGCTTCATGTGGTTGTAAGAGAAATACATGTAAAATTTATCAGGGGAGCAGGGACAGTGCAGTCTGGATAGAACTCACCACTGAGTGTGACCCAAGTGATACACTAGCTTGGACTTGGTTACTGAGTCTGTTGTTGGGTTTTACAATGTACTGTAGCCTGCTTAAGTTTTGTTTTCCTGTGTGCAATACCTGGGTGGGGGGGGGGGGGGTATTCCTTTAGATGGGCTATATACATGTAGGTATGTGCAACCCCAAAGGGCCTGGTATTTTCAGCTGTTTTGGTCATACATGTATATAGGGTATCGATTTTGTCCATTTTGTTCATAACAAGGGTATGGTTTTGCACTCTTGTCTTGAAGTGGGTATATTTTTTTAGATGAAGCTACTTTTCACTATTATTGATAAGACTATTAACAAAAGCCCTTCATAAATTATGTTTAAAGGGCAACTGTGTCAGCCACAACAGTCGTAAATAGGATATTAAATTTTTGATCGGGTCATAAATAGGGTAGGGAAAATTACAGATTTTGGTCATAAATAGGGTAAGGGTGTTGGGAAGCGGGCTGCACACCCCCACCCAATTTTTCTGGGAGTACCTCCCGAGGGTGCAAATCAATACAAGCCCAATAATTTCAAATACATGGAAACCAGTTTTTCAGTTCCATGTGTAATGATTGGGAGTAATGATCTGTAACAGAGCAGGTAGATTTCTTAGCTGATTTGAACTCAAATGGTAACAAATTTTCTGTAACAGAGTTTTTCAGCACATTAATCACACAGTACCGGAAAGAAGCGTTACTGAGAGGTCATAGGGGTTGTACAGTTCAACTTTCCTCAAAAAGCAACATTTTCCAAATTCTTAGCTTTATTATGAAAAGCAACGATCTACTAAAAACCAGCTTTGGCATACATGTACGTGTACATGTTTTCATGTAAGATTTTTGATTAGAACTGTAACATTCATTTGTGTGAACCTTGTTTTCCTTGCAGCCTGTTAAAAAGAAGAAAATAAAGAGAGAGATAAAAATCTTAGAAAACCTGAGAGGAGGACCCAATATTATTAATCTTCTTGATGTCGTAAAAGACCCTGTGGTATGTCAATACATTTGGTGTAATGTACATGTACCTACTAGCAGATAAGTAAATATATTCCTAGCTTTGTTTTTTTAGCACCTCAAGAAGATAGTGGAAGTGTTCTGCCACCAAATTATCTTGTCATGTTGTACATCTTTGTGGTAAATCTTTTATACATGTAAATCTGTAAATACACAGTTCATAGACATTTTCTTTCAAGTTCAATCCTCTTTTCACAAACACTGGTCCATAGTGATCACTTGTATACCGTACTGTGTTTCAAGTAGGAGTCTTCAAAAGTTATGAATTATCAATTGAGACAGACAAGATAGAAATTGCCATAACAGGGTTGCCACAGACTGGTCAGAGACAAAAACTCTCCAAGGTCAGGGAAAAGTCAGGAAATAATATTTTGAGGCAGGGAAAATTGAAATAATGTAACATAGCTAATTAAAAACTTGTTGGGGTCACTGTGATTTCCGTAATGAAGAAGGAAAATTTGTTGAAAACTTATCAGTGTTAATGGATGGCTAGAAAGGACAGCTGCAAGGGCAGGCTAGATGCTGCTACTATATGTAACCTTTTGTATTTATTTAGTCAGGGAAATTTTATTTTTGTCACAAAAAAGTCAGGTAAGAGTTATATGTAGGGAGTTTTACAGAGTGAGTCTGTGGCAACCATGTTTTTCTCCGTCTTACAGCTGCATGTACATGCAGTTATTATCTTTATGATGTTTTTTTTTTTCGTCACTTACAGTCCAGGACACCAGCATTAGTTTTTGAGTATGTTAACAACACAGATTTTAAGGTGAGTTTTAATTTCTACACATACCTTGCTTTTTGTGGCTAATATATAGATTTATAGTTATATTTAGGCCTGCAGCATGTCAAGCTAGTCTGATTCTATTTTTATTGGTTTCAAGTTCAGTATCTTAATCTGAAATGTTATGAGGAAAATAGAAATCAAACTTGTCAATGAAATCTGCATTCAGATCAAGTTTGAGCTGCAACCTATACACCTGAATGTACCTGTATACAATACATGTCCTTACATGAACATACAAGTAATACTTATAACAGTATAATGTACCCTTGTTTACATAGATGTTCATAATTTAAGAATTCTGTTGTTTTCCTTTACAGCAACTGTACCAGAAATTTACTGATTATGACATCCGATTTTACTTATATGAACTTCTGAAGGTTAGTTTGAGAACATTTTAGTTTAAGAACAGATTACATACATTAGGTGAATTTGAAAAGTTTTAGTCCATGTTTAATAATCTGTGGAACTTGTCTCTTGGTCTTTCAGGCCTTGGACTATTGTCACAGTATGGGGATAATGCACAGAGATGTCAAGCCACATAATGTTATGATTGATCATGAAAAGAGACAGGTACGCTGTTTACAAACAAAGTTTTTTGTATAACTTGTAGTGTAATACTTTGACTGATCTTGATTTTTTTGTGTGTGTCAGTATTACCGGTAGAAGCACTGCTTACAGGATTTATATACAATGGAACCTTGCCTCTACCATCATTCAGTGTACTGTGCATGCATTGCAAAGACTCAGATATCAAAACTAAAACTACCATCAAACATAGGGCTATACATCATATACATGTATCACAGTCCGTGTTCGTTGAAGGGAGAGAAGTGTTCACTTTGTTTCAGTTACAGTATTTTCTGTAATAGTTTCTCATTTTCAAATCATTTTTGATATGCAAAACAAGATCTACAGATAGTATTATGGTCCTTTAGGAAAAATATACATACAGATTATACACTTTTGTCAGTCCCAAATACAATTTATCTAGAACTGTACATTGTAGCTTTGTTTCTTTTTCTCTGTTTGATTTGATTAATTATTTTGTTGTTTTATTTTCACCAGTTACGACTAATAGACTGGGGTTTAGCTGAGTTTTATCACCCAGGTCAAGAGTACAATGTACGAGTGGCTTCCAGATACTTCAAAGGACCTGAATTACTGGTGGATCATCAAGTATGTGCTATGTGTGTCTGTCACAAGTGTTCAGGCATACAACATGTCGAGTGCAAGTCAAAAGACAGTCTACAGTTCATTTTCATTCTTGTGATAAAAATCTGTAGCCTTCATACAAGATGCTTGTCTCAAAAAAAGACTTAAACTTCCAGTTCATATTCATGTACCTTTCAACAACCTTTCATGTTCAACAGGTTCAACATACATGTATCACATGTATCACATGTGACTGAGTATAGATTTTCTTGTGCAAGGTCATACACAGCCATGTGTACAGTACTGAGCAGTGTGCCTCTTAAGGTGCTCTGTTAAGGTTGGAAAGTGGGGCAGTGCAACATGTCTTTAAATCTTTAACCATGTAAGCTCATTTTAATTGCATGTCCTGCTGCATTTTGATAACTGTTTTGTTGCTACATGTACACTGTGGTGGTGACATGCTGTACAGATACATGTACACTCTACTTGTTGATTAGCTTCTGACAACTAATTTAGACATGCATGTTAATGTTTTTGTTTTCAGGAGTATGACTATTCCCTTGACATGTGGAGTTTTGGCTGCATGCTGGCTAGTATGGTGAGAATCAGAAGTGACAAATTTATTTCTTCTTGTAATGTCTATTGACATGATGAGGGGACTGAGAAAGAAAAAAAAAGCATAATTTACATGTACATGTAGGGTACATTGTCTTTGTACAGAACAAAATCATGGTGTACAATAGACAATATTTGTATTCTTAGTATTAGACTGGAATTAGCTTGAAACTGGGGCTAATGCAGGGAGTCTTTTCAAATGCAAATGACATACATCATTTTGGACTGGGTATTATATTTTGTTTTGATGAATACAACTACCATGATTCCCTGCAGGTAGGCATGTCTCATACAGTTGTAGAGGGAATTGGACATCATGAGCATAGCCCTGCTATGGTTAAAGTCTGTAGTCTCGCTTCCTTCTTATGGTGTCCTGTTATTTTAAGACATTGTGTTTGTTACAGATTTTCAGAAAAGAACCCTTCTTCCATGGACATGACAACTATGATCAAGTTAGTGTTACTAACTTACTGTATGATGTTTCCTCTCTTTCTTGTTAAAGTTTTGTCTTCAAGTGTTTCAGTTATGTGTACAAGGTGAACTCTCTTCCACATGCCTAAGGTCTTATGTGGCTTTTCCTCTCTAAGAAATAAAAGTCAGACTTACTAAGGTGGTGCCACTGTGCAGTATTTGGTACAAAATAGGCAGAACATTTTCTTTGATTGCTGCTTGTAAATTGGTCTTCAGTCAACACTACATTAAAAGTGTGACAAACTTCTTTTATAGTAGATGTACCCATGTTACTTAAAGCCAACAATAAGCTACAGTAATAGATAATCGTAATATTATCCCTTTACTTCAGCTTGTCAGAATTGCCAAAGTTATAGGAACAGATGAGCTTTTTGAGTATGTCGAGAAGTACCATATAGAATTAGACCCAAGATTCAACGACATCTTAGGGAGGTGAGTTTTTGTTTTATCAAAGGTTTTCAACCTTAGTACAGTGTACCAACATTGGGAGACATTTATTTTAATATAATGTGTACATGTACATATGTGTTTTGCCAATTTCCTGACTTTATTTGTAAATTGTGTTGTCTTTTTGAAACATAACTGTATGCAGGCTTTTAGCCAGATGGGTGTCCAGGCATCCTGTAGACAGCCACTTATTAAAGAATATCCGTTTATTTTTCGTATGTTGCCTTATAAAATTGTTCATTTGAGCAGGCCATACGGCATGGCACATTTTGGACGCCCACTTTTCAAATCCTGGCTTAAAGCCTGACTGTATGTACAAGTACATCTACACATACAGTTGGTATATTTTGAATGAATGTGTTAAAATGTGCTATGTTATCCTTATCCTTATGTTGCTGGCCAAGTGAAAACAATCGTTTGCAAAAAAAGTAAGGTTATAATGTTAAATTAAATGCAGTATTACACTAAATACATGCAAGGCAAGGATAAATGTACTGTATCATATGATATCTGAACAGTATTAAAATGGGAGTGTGGAATACCTGGTAGTTATTGCTCCTCCCTCTCCTATTCATTCAGTGCATGCAGCTATAGTTATACACTACATGTAAAGTAAAATTAAGATATCTTGGATAACAAGGCTGTTGTTATATGTACATGTATGTTTTGAACATTGTGTTTTTATCATAGACATTCAAGGAAAAGGTGGGAAAGATTCACTCACTCAGAAAATGAACTTTTAGTAAGTCCTGAAGCAATTGACTTGCTGGACAAGCTCCTAAGATATGATATAGCGGTAAGTTGAAATTGAAATAGGCAATACATGCTGAGAACTCCTCATTTATTTTCATAATAAATTATAATTTCTTTATATTTAAAAAAAAAAAAAATTAACAACCACTTTCATCTTCATTTCAGAGTTATAAATTAAAGTAATGTATCACTGACACTTTGTTAGTAATTAGGTGTTTCACAGCATCAGTAGGGCTGTCATTAACTTTTGAGTCACCTGTAGCCTTGTTCTCCACACTCATAGCAAACTTGTTACGTTGTGGGTAAATTTTATCAACAATGGGCAATTTCACCCGCAGCATCAGGGGAAAATCAAACATGATCAGCCATAACAGGTGTTACGTTTCGGGTTACAGCCATTGATGACAGCCCTGATCAGTTACTTTTACTCTAATGAAGCGTTGATATATTATTGAAGATACAACAGTGTTCATTGATTATATTGTACATGTTTGTAATGTTATTAACAGGCCCAATGTACCAAATCCTTGCAGATAAGTGCAGTGTCACGTATGGACCCAGTAAATTGGTCAAGCTCACAAAGAGTCTCTAGCTCTTGTTTGACTGGTATCTGGGAGGTCGTGGGTTTGATGAGTCTTGTTGGGGACTCAGATTTTTCTTTGTTTCATGCTCGGGGCAACTTTTCATCTTTATCACTCATTCACCCAACTGCAAATTTACCATCTTTCACTTATTGCACAGCCTGTAGCTTTACAAGTGAATGCATTAATTTTGTGAAAATCGTGCTCAGCTTAATTTGTAGTTGAAATTTACTGCAGCGATCATTTTTACTGCCAGAAGATTTGATACACATGTGCTTCTTGTTTATAGGAGCGCCTTACTGCGAGAGAAGCCATGGAACATCCATATTTCCGTGAGTTGCATTATTATGCATTTATTCGATAAATGAAACATTAATATATCGTAAGAAAATGTCAAAAATCAGAGAACTGGGTCCCCAAGTTTGTCTTTGCAGTGAATTGTAGAACAAATTTGTTGAAGGTTTATTCAAAAGACAATGGTGAATACCTTCTATTTAAAAACATACACAAATGTACAAACATGGCCTTGTGTGTGGTTTGTTCACAGTCAAATCTCTTATAATACAATGTATGTAAAACAGATATTGGTACAACGGTGGGTAGAGTTTGTATTAATCTGCTTCTCTGTGGGCTCTGTTACATTTTGTAGAGTCTTTTTAACGTACAGGTGTGTAGGTGGGGTTAATTAATGTTTGTCACTTCAGATAAATGGACCTGTCTATAAAGCAGACGTGTTTGTTTGTTTGTGTTTGGGAATTATGGTCTTGTAGGAGCAGGAGAATTGTGTATCAAACTAGGTGAGTGATCTGTCAATGTGCAAGTTAGTTGGTAGTACATGTAACATCTTCACTTCACCTTTTCAGATCCAGTTGTGAGACAGGAACAACAAAGACTGGCACAGACTATAATCTCTCCAGTCCCTATGCAGTCCAGTGGAACACCGACGCAACAAATTGTTTCGCCCATCCCAGCTTCGCCAACATCGCCCCTGCCCAATTCAACCCCTGCATGACAAGATTATAACTGTAGTCAAAGGGATGTGGGTACGTGGGCTTAACCTGGATCTTTTTCACTGAGAAAAGGATAGTTTGCCTCAATGGGTGCAATTTTTCAACAAGATTACAACTGTATTCAAAAGGATGTGGTACATGGGCTTAACGTCCATCTTTTCTCACCGAGAAAAAATGCTTTTCGTGCATGTAAATGTACATGTAGATGGGTGCAATTTTCAACAATATATTTAAGGGTCTAGGTCAAGCTATTTTTGGCAATTCTAGGTGTTTTGCCTTTCTAGTTTAATAATGAAAATAGTCTGATGAAAGCGAGTGAATACTATACATGTAGGTGTTTCTAAAGAACAGACTAGATTTCTGATTTTTTTAGTTACGATGTTGAATTCTGTTTCAGCCGTTTACTCAATGTTTCTGTTATTTGTGCCATTGTAGTTGGTCATCTTTTTATATAGTTTTCAGCTGTTTGATTTAGAACCAGTTATATTCTTTGAACAATTCGCTTAAAGTAGCGTGACCTAGCCACCGATGCAGTCACTTTTTGAGCTTGTCGCGCAATCTTTCCTCAACGCGTGGCGTGTCCACGTGGGTGTGGTTCGAGTTCATTTGACCCCTAAAAGACACCACTTTAACACAGAGAGACAAGTATAGGTTACAATGATTTAAGTAATGATAAAAACAATGTTATCAAAAACTTTATCCTATAGATAGATTGTAAAAGCATTGCCTTAAAACTCCAGGTATTTCTCCATGTGTAACCCTAAAAGATACCTTCGTGTTTTGTCCTGGACACCCTAAGTGAGACCAAAAGCCAAAGCCTTTTCACATGGGAGCATCCCCCCCCCCTCCCCTACTCCACTCCCGGGACGTGCCCAGAGAGTGTCTGCATACGAGTCTAAAGATGATAAAGCCCTTTAAACTATTTGACATTTCTAGTTAGCTTGCCTAGATATAGGGGACGTAAAACCTGACATTGTTGTGCAAAGCAAAAAGTTCTTGTCAAAGTTGCATCAATTTTGCCCGTGACAACATGAGGCAATGTTGTCAAAGTACCATTATTATTTTTACAAACATATTTTAAATAAGATATTTCATCCTTTTCCCAAACTTTAAATGTAGAATGTTGAAGAGGGTAGAACATTTTCGTTTCCCTAATTTGATTCAAAAAGGCCAACTTATAACATGTTATCCCACATTTCTTTGGAAACAGGGTTAATTAATGAGTGAGGAGGTAGTCCTTGCAGATGTTGCCGCTCATAAGAACTTCCATAGTTGATACTCAGTTTTCTTTTTGAGCGATGTAAATTATTGTTTTAGCTACAGTCTTATTAATGTGACTGTCATATATCTTGTAAAGTGTCTTGGTTATCGACTCGCTTTCTTCTGTTGACATTGTGATTTGCAACCTTCCAAGTATTGTTGTGTTTGTGAAGACGAGAAAAGTACACTGCATGGCGGCGGCCAGTGTGCTGGTAGTTAGCCACTTGGGTCTTTGTATTGTATGTTGATATCTTTGTAAAATATATTCTTACAGAAGTAAGTTGGGGTAGATCTTTGAACTTGGTCCTCTACGTAGCTGAAAATAAACAAAATGAGTGTGCTGTCATTATTGTGTTTTTCTTATTGCTATTTCATTTCAAATTCTCCCGAGCGCTGCTTCATGTTAGTATGTCCCGGGGGGGGGGGGGTAGGGTTATAGGACCCCCAAGAGCTAATACTTTACAAAACCCGCCCTAGACCTCAACCCATACTCGCAGTAGGCACAAGACAGTCACCATTTGAAATTTAGTCAAACGCGGAAAAGGTGCTGTAAACCATAGGCTACTATGTGTAAACAGCCTTGGTTTTATGAGGGTTCTTAACGGAGGGGGGCGGGTGACTTAAAAGCCTACTTTTCCCCAAAATCCAGTCCTCTTTTCATGACCCAAATCCCGTTTTCCCAGTAAAAAAAAAAAAAAAAAGCAAATCCCACATCGCGAACGCAAAATGGCGGTATGTGGCCGAGTGGGGAAGAAGACGGCACATGGGCGGTATGGTATCGCCGAGTAAGGAAGAAGGCGAGACCTGCGTGCCGCACCCATGTCTCGTCCCACTCCCTTTTGGGCCAAAGCGTCTCGCCTCATTGCCCATGCTGAATTTTGAGAGAAAAATAGACTACCAGCAGTCTAGGAGACTTCAGAGGACATGATGTTCGGTCAAACACTCGTCACTATACCCAGCTGTGGCGACTTGATGGCGCCACTAAAGTTGTTGTCCATCCTCAATTATACAACTGTGTGGTAAGTTTTACTTTGATTGACACATTGTACACGAGTCTTATTAAAAACTTACACCTGAGGCGACATCGTTATTTGAAGTCATATCAGTCTATCGCCCAAATCAAAAAAAAAAAAGCTTTGAACTTAGATTCGCTCGCTCTTCAGCTATGTGAGGACAGCTGTACTCACACAAAAATATTAAATATTCGGTTTCAGCTGTTCCCAGTTTGAAACAAACTGGAACCCTAATCAAGATATTTCGTTTTCTAAAGGTGGGTGAAAAATACAACTTCCTTGGTTTCTGGCCCTGTGAAGAACGCATTCCCGTACAAATTGTCGTAGAAATTACGTTTTCTACATCCAAGCTGCGCGAAAATTGGGTCGAAGTGAGAAAAGAAAAGGAAAAGAAAGGAACGTTCGATACGCAGAGTACTTGAGTTTAAGCTGAGAAACACTAACACTTTGCCTAATCAAAACACAGGGATGAAATCGATAGAAAAAGGGCGCCAAATATAGAAAATCGCGGTAAATTATATGTAGTTGCAGGCCCTCACGTTTTGTGGAAACTATAAAATGGTAGCCGGATTAGTTGATTCAGTTTTCAAGTTCTTTTTTTGTAATAATTTGGTCAGTAAACGTGAGTTTTTCATCAATAAAGAAACCTGAAATACTCGTATATTGAATTTATCAAGTAGGCATACATTAGATTCAAGCAATCCAGTTTCGAACTCTGACTACTGAATAGTCGTGAATATTTTTCCAGAATGATGTTATGATTTATCAACGTTAAGCTCGTTAAATATTTTTTTTGTGCCGATAACTGACCACTGACCACTAAAAGAAAAACATTTCTATTTCGTTTTATCTCATATTTTAGTTCTATCGTCCAGGTAAACTGGACTTCACTAAATGATGCTATTATTCATTGACTCTGGTCCTACGTAAAGTCAAAATTGTTACAGTGGAACGTACTGATTCAGTTAAAGTTGTCTTAAATTGATTTGGCGAGGAAGACTTTTTGACAGATTTAGTCATCTATGGCCAGGAAAGATGGGACCAGAAACTCAAGCAAAATTCACCTTCAGAATCTCTACTCTGCTTCATTGTAGGTTCTATTTCTGTGTGATTTCCAAGGATCAAATACAACACGAAGATGTTCGTAGTTTTCTCACTTCTTGCCATTTTCCTACTCGCCGAGTTTGTTGAGTCCAAGCCTGGAGGTACATAAACTTGACTTTTTAAGAGACGGTCTCATGTTTGGTTTATTTTAGTTAGATCTAAGTCGCTCGTTGTTATGATGAATCCTCCCTGTCCATTCTTCACTCGTTTATTAAAGCTGTGTGTTTTTATTTACGAAGATTATATATATGTTTATGCTCACTTGCTGAACACTGGCAATCAAAAATCAGTAGATGAGCTTTAACTGAATAACCTATTCTGACAGTGTATTCGTCTATTCTCAGCTGTAAATGACTCAGAAGACAATTGTGAGCCTGGGTATGACTACAGATACTGTGGAACAAGCTGTACCAGAGGTGACTGCTCGGGCTCTCCTCACCCAGCATGCCCTGAGGGTCAACTGTGCTGTACGTGCCCCATGTAAAGTGAGTAGTATTTACACCCATTGCAGTTCGTACTATACGTTCGTTCGTTCGTTCGTTCGTTCGTTCGTACGTATGTTCGCTCGTTCGTTCGTTCGTCCCTACGTTCGTTCGTTTGCTCCTTCCTTCCTTCCTCTCTTCCTTGAATCCTTTGTTTGTTCATCCACTCATCTGTTCTTTCTGTTGTTTTCGTTTGTGCTCATCCATGGTCGTAGTCGTCAGATTATTTCAAATGAACAAAATGTTGAGTTACGTTTCAAACCGAGGTCTGAAAACACTGTTCCTTCTCGCTTTGCAAGGCTGTTCCAGACTTTTCCAATTAACTTAAGCTAGGGGAACAAGCCACTGTATCTGAGTACTTTCACTCAAATGATGTACCTTTCATGCTGTAGCCCAACAACTTATACAGCGCGTTCTATACATGTCACCAAGTTTACAATCAAGTTTTTCCGTTGCAGGAATGACTTGGTCGGGGCTAATCAAGATTAGATACGATTTGTAGAGAGGGAAAGATGTCAGTCTGATGTTTTCTCCCACTAGGAGTTTAAAGTTATCACGATGCCTCTGAAATAAAATTACAAAATTTAAATCGCTTTGTAGTAATTTATGATAAGTTAACTTGTGTAAGCATGTTCGCAGCGCGTAATTATGTAGGGACAGGGGATCTGAACTTCCCTCTGCAGGCCCACACCCCAGTTCACTCCTCGCTTTCCTTTTCTTTCTTTAGTGGAGGGCCCTGGTAGAGGTACCGAAAATATATCTCAGTCGTTAGTTAACGTTTGGGTGTCTCTCACCTTTTCAGTTAAAATTTCAGTCCATTTCTTATGTATAACTAAATCCAGCAGACGTCAAATCTTAATTAATGATTATAAAACTCGCCATTTCTCTGCTGACAGTTAAAATTTTGATACCTCCCCGGACCGGCCTGCATTTGTTCGCTTGTCGTTTTCGTCCGTATATGATTTTGAATCTTTATTGAGTTTTATTGAAGTACGTTCAGTACCCGACCTAGTAAACAACAAGAAACGGGAATAAACATACAAAAGTACAGGCAAAAACAGAAATAATGACAACATTAAACTCCTTAACATAGTAAAAATATATACAAACCACAAAATACAGATTACGTGAAACTATAACGATATATATTGAGATTTTATCTCCTCGGTGACAAAAATTCATGGTACCGTAATAGGGAGCCTTAAAGGCACTCTTAACTCTCAGCTATGAATTAAAAGATCGTCTTAGTGACGCCACCTCTTTGAATATGTCTTTTTTCTTTTGTAAAAGGTTTCGTCATGCCGGAAAATCCTTTCCTCTGTTCCTAGTTTCCGCCGCCTTAGGTATCCCAGACTTATCCCAAATAAACGCTGGGATTACATTTTTTTTTATTAATTTCATTCTATTTAGTTTTCCTTGCAAACAATTTTTACATGATTTTCCAGCTGGTCTAAACACCAACATTTCTGCTTGTACTACATGCCAGCTACCTAGAATTAGATTTTTTGACACAGACACAACATAGAACATGCGGTATAGAACATGCTGCAAAACAATACAATACGTGACTTGGAGTTTTAAAAATTCTTAGAATTTCAAATCGTAATTAACTATAAATTGACCCGCTCTAGGCCAATCACAATGAAGTGATTGTCTCAGTCATGTAATAAAATTGTTTTATCATGTCATGATATTTGACAACCCGCCAACAGATTTTTAATTTCTTTTACAATCAGCCTACCAACACCAATGAAATGATGTTTTTATAAGCTGTTAAGCTGTTTAAACCGTTTGTATCAAAACCGAAGAAACGTTTCCCAGTTAAAGAACATTTAGCAAAACCTTTGCACGGCGCGGCGTTCTTGTAGGAACAAAAACGTGAATGAAAAGATGTTTGGTGTTGTTGGTGTTGCTGTATTGCTGTGTGGCTCAGGTATAACGAGTCTAAAGATGCACACATTTACTGTTTCAGTTGTAAATATTAATTTTCTCTTTATTTCTTTACATATGTTTATCTTTTCCTTTATCCAGGACTTCTAACCAGCATCGAAGGTACAAAATTCCTTTTTTCTGTCATGTCGTTCAGTTTTGTTGTCCTTTCCTCAAAATATTCCTTATGTTATGGCTGTATATGACTGTTAATGAAAACAAAGGGAAATATATAAGACTAAATACTTTCCTCAGCCACTTGTGGGGTCCGCCCAAAGACCAGGATCATTAGTGGTCATAATGCGCTCCCCAACTCATGGCCCTGGATGGTCCAGATAAATCACCTTGGAGGACATCACTGTGGAGGCGCCTTGGTGAGCCCCCAGTGGATTGTAACCGCGGCACACTGTGTAAACCATGCTCAGAAGCCGGAAAATTACCGTGAATTTAAAATAACTCTCGGCGAGCACCGAAGAAGCACACGAGAAGGATACGAGCAGGTGTTTGACGTGGCAAACATCGTTGTACACCCACAGTACGATAAACCTTCCATGGTGAATAATGATATCGGTAAGTGAAGCCAGTAGCTAGTTTTATGACAACATATCGAGTTTTTCTAGTCGCTAATAGAAGTAATGTATTCTGGTATCTGGTTGATGGCTAAATTTCTATGCAGTGGGAAATGTTGATATCGTAGTAAACTGAAGATGTTAGAGAATCAGGTTAACAAAAAAATCAAACTCGTCACCTAGCTAGCGGAAGTATATTCTGAAAAAAAAACAAAAAAAAAAAAACCGACGAACGAGCAAAAAAATGAATGAATGAGAGAATCAATCCATCCATCAATCAATCAATCAATCAATCAATCAATCAATCAATCAATCATTCAGTCAGTCAGTCAGTCAGTCAGTCAATCAATCAATCAGTCAATCAATCAATCAATCAGTCAATCAATCAATCAATCAACCAATGAACAAATGAAAAGGTGAACGAATGCAAGAACGAACAAAGGAATGACTGAATGAATGAATGGATGAATGAATGAATGAATGAATGAATGAATGAATGAATGGATGGATGGATGAGTGGATGAATGAGTGAGATCCCCAGTGTGAGCGGAGTTAGTTCTTCCAATTCCCACGCACGGCTTGTCTCTCCAGCTCTCGATTAGGCACCTTTAGATTGGACTACGTGTAAGAGATTGAGTAAGGATACGATTTTCGAATTCAAACTAGTGACGTTTCTAGAGCCCTCACTCTTCATGTTGGTTTTAAGTAGAGAGGGTTACTCGTGGGATGAGTTGGATATGTGACCTGATAATATAAAGCCTGCAAACAAGAATTGAAAAGTCGTACTTGTATAGTATTCCATCTTGTACTTATACTCGAAAAAAATCTGCTTTTTTCTCTCACCTCTTCTTTCTTCTCGCGGAGTTGAAAACGACTTTTCAGAACAAGAGCATTCATGACCATTGCAAAACGCTTTTTTCAATTCTATTATATATCTTTGTTTCTAATTAGCATTGATCAAGCTCAACCGTCCCGCCATTTTGAATCGTCAAGTGGGCTTAGTTTGCCTTCCTTATCAAGGCTACAACATTCCGGCTGGAAAGAAGTGCTATGCCACTGGTAAATATTACTTTAATTTGCTAAGCAACTGATCGTTCAATGAGAGCGTGACAAGTTACGTGGTAATCTCCCCTTGTCGCTTTGTTTTATAATTAAGTGATGAGATAATAACAATTCATAATACATCTCCACGAGTAAGTGCCCCCAAAGTGCACTTTTTGCGCTTATTTTTTTTTTTGCGAATTCAAATTGAAGAAGCCATTAGATTTCTCTTACTCTAGCTAAATTCTGTGCGCTTTAGAGTTCATTTCACTCTAGCTAGCTGTGTTCCGATGTAGAAGACTAGTTCCATAGTCGAGATATTTGCCATTACATTTGTCCTATATTACTGTAGTGTCAGTTGTACGAACGGTCAGTGTATTCTGTTAGTATACCGCAAATTGTTGTTGTTGTTGTTGTTCTTGTTTTCGCAGGGTGGGGCTTGACAATCCCTGAGGACTGGAACAGTCAAGCTGACACTCTTAAACAAGCCATGCTTCCCACAGTTAGCCAATCAGAGTGCGAGGAAGACAACAAAGATTCTGGTATTCCTGTAACCAACGCCATGTTCTGTACGGGCCATGGCGGCTCAAGCCCCATCAGCACTTGCAACACTGACAGCGGTGGACCAATAGTGTGCAAGGATTCTAGAGGCAGATGGATCTTACAGGGTGTGGTCAGCTGGGGTTCAGGTGGTTGTCATCCGGGACATTACTCTGTTAACGCTAGAGTCAGCAAGTTTACTGGCTGGATAAACAGCTACATCAGCAGCTAAGTAAGGGAGGGAGTAAGGAAGGTCTCAAAGCTTCCCATGCTCTTATGCTGTCGCAATGATAAATTTAATGTCTTACCACTGTGGAAGGTCTTGGCGTATTGCTTACAAAGTGCACTGGCCATGATTTCAGTGTTAACCTCTGTAGATTCATACCTAGTATTAAAGTAGCTAATGACTCCATGTTGCCGTCCTTGCCAGTTTGTGTTATGTAGACTTCTTTCCTTTTGTAGAATAAATGATAGTCACTGAAAAGAATAAGAAAGAATCGTACAAATTAGATGAAAAAGTTAGATGGTTCTAAGAAAGTTGACTTCTCTCGACTTAAGCATTAATCAAACCGCTGCCCCTTGCAGACCAGTCTATCTACCAGAGAGTAAGTCACCGATGGCTTAAGGGTAGATCACGTGACTTGTAGTGTGCAGAGTAGCTTGTGTATAGGAAGTGTTTCAATCGTTCTTTGTTTAGCTGCGTATCTCCTAGATAGTACAACCAAAAATGTTGCAAATGATTAATATAATAAAAGAGAGATATTGCGCAATGAAAAGGTCAAGTTCGATTATTTAGGATTGTTTATAAAACCAAAAGGGACTTTTTATCAATAGCCAATGTTGAAATATTATTAACTCGAGCTTGTAAGTGGAGACGTTGTCTCAAAGTAGGTAGTGAATAGTATTGTGAATTTATTGTGTCAATGCGTTTACCGTTTTTGTATTTTGAATTTCAGCTAATCCATAGACAAAAAGCCTGGAGATTTGAAACGTCATATCGAGTAGCGGAATGTTCACTTCAGAATGATGTAATAGAGAATAAAATAACAAAATAATAATAAGATGCGTCATGCAGTTGTTATTTTCGGGCACGTGCTTACTTCCGTTTCAGCATTTCTAAATCTGATATCACGGTTATGAAGCTTCTGAAGTTTGCTCTCAGGGGGACTTTCAGCATAAATTCCATAATCTCCCCATGACACACATCGAGTAGAACGTTTTGCTCGTTTTGCTTGGGCTTTTCTCGTTCATATTGCCTTGTTCAAAGTCTTGTTCATCGTAAGGCTGAATGATCGACGAAGGTTTGATGGGAACATTAATTTTTCGACCACTAGAATATATCAGTCTTTAAACTAGGCCAGAGCTTCCCGGCTACATATTAAAATGAGAATAGTATTAGGTGTATCCCAAGACCTTACCTGCCTTGCCAACGTTTGCCGCCCTTGCCTCTTTTAACAAGGCAACAAAATAACAAGGTAACAAAATAACAAAGTAACAAAGCTAGAAGGCATCAAAGGAACAAGGTGACAAGGAACAAAGTAGCAAAGTCTGGAAGGGCCAAGGTGACAAGGAAACAGGCTAAAAGGGTAGCAAGGTACTGCAAGGTACCAGAGTAACAAAGTGACAGGGTAACAGTACAAGGTTACAAGGCAATTAGGTAACCAGAGGGTAACATTTCGCTAAGGTAATAAGGTAACAAAGTAACAATGTAACAAGGTAACAGAATAAGACAGGTAATAAGGTATCAGCGTAACGGTTTTACCGGATAACAAAATAACAAGGTAACTCAGGGTAACGAGGTAACAAGTTATTATTTTATAAGGGTACAAGATTACGTTAAATGAACTCAGGTAACCATTACGCAATTGAGGATGGTATCTGCAGAAGCAATGTTCCTCTAATTGCAATCCCCCGTCATGCCTGCTAAGATAGTTTGATAGTTTGAATTTCATCCACTTCTGACCTATTCCTATGCATGGTTCTAATCAGTTCACGAGGCGTTGATTGCACATTTGTCGTAAAAGAGAATGGGTACGATATTTCTTTAAGTCCACTCTAGATATGTTCGGTGGTCACACATACTTTATATCCTCGTCAAAATCGGTTTTCATTATTTTTAACATCCATTATCATTAAACGATACGTGTTTGGAAAATAATTTCTATTTACAAGGCTAAAAAAGTTAAAAGTAAAAATCGAACGTTTTCGACACGAGATCATATTACTCTGAAGATGACCTACTGTCGAAAAAGTTCTGTTTTTACGTTGAACTTTTTTAGCCTTGTAAGTATTTTTAAAATCAAAGCGAATTAATATTATGGACATCAATACGTGTTTTGTTTCGTCGATTCAAACCAACACTTTGCTCTTTGATTAAAAAAACGTAACTTGACTTATCAAAATGAAATTAATAGTGTAAGCATTGATTAACTTTTTAAGTCAAAACCCAAAGGACTTTTTTCAGTAATTGAAACCCTAAATACAATAGTTTAGTGTTGTCGAGGATTGCAAGTGCAGTGAAGCCATGAAACTGAAGAGCGTTGCCGTGATTGGTTACTCGTGCACGTGATGTCAAGTTGAAAAAGTCGGGTAGACGTTTTCAGATGTTGTCGTCGTGTCTTAAAGCCAGTTAAAATTTTCTGTCCTTCAGCAATTCGCTTTATATTTTCATCTTGATGTTCAAGCTAGGGACATTCGCTTACGAGGGAAGGTGTCAATCTTACTTTTAGGACCTCTGTGACGAGAAATGTAACAAACTCGCCGCGAGAGTGCCCTGTCAGAAAAGAGCAAGGAATTGTCAAGCTGTCAAGGTTAATGGCAGTACTTGAGTTTTGTGACCTTACCTGTTTTGAAATTAAACAAAACATGAAGTAATACACGCAGAGGAAGCTACCGTGAAAAAAATTCGCTGATAGCTTTTGTTTGTCGTTTGTCGATTTTAGGTGTCTTGTCTAACGAAAACGAACACAAGAAATAAGAAAATAGTTCTTCTTCTTTTTCAACAAAACTGAAGTTCACAGCTTGAGGCACTTCAGGTGACACAAGGCTGAAAAAGACAACTCCCCATGATAACTCTCTAATCTACATTTCTCCCTCATTTGCGTTGGACGGTGAGTTCGGAAGAATTATTTTCGAGCCGTAGAAATGTTCGAGAGTTGTGTTCTGATTCTTGCTTTTATATGCGATGAAAGCTTTTTAACAGCAGTTTACTCACAGTTTCCTTGCAGTCAGTACTCAAAAGTACCATGATGTTTAGGCTGAAACTTGCGTTCGCTCTTATGGCTCTCGTTCTTGGTAAGTTTCTAAAGTAATCAGGGAGTACTTCTTCCTCAAGGGAAATAGGAGAAAAGTTACTTCCTCTTGTTACATAAGCAAATGGTTTGGTGGCTAATAAGTAGCATAAAAATAATTAAGGCATCGTCTTTAAAGTTGACTGCCATCGTCAAGCTATCTATATTGTCCAAATATTTACTTATTTACAATGCATCGTTATTTTGCGAACTCACAGAAAAGGACGTTGTTATCTTTTTCCCTTAGGTTACGTCAACGTTTGGTTTTAATTTTTAAAATTCTTAATAAAGTGTAATTTCGACCCTGACCATAATGTAGCAAAATGTATGATTCTCAGTGGGTGCGTTTGCTTTACACTTGCAGCGAAAAATACACTCTCTAAGTCCATAAAGAAGAAGCACAGCAAAAAGGAGTCTATACCGAAATATAAGTCTCACTATGTACTACTTATGGGAAACCCCATCGAGGATGAGCATAATCGCAAGGGGCTGGGCATGATTCTTTCCTCTAAGCTCAGAGGCGAATCAGACAAACTAAACGGCGAGCCTTCGAAAGGAACCCACCACCACCATCATCATCATAATAAACCAGGCACTGATCTTGCGGCAACGCTGCAAACATCTTCGGAAGGATATCCATCGGATGACGGTTATAGCTACACCGAGGCACTATTCACTGGGGCTCCGCTCTTGAACGGTACACCAGTTTCGGAGTCTGATAGGACCCAAGAGCGTGACCGAAATAAGGGTACAGGTTTCGCCAAGCTGCAAGCCGATAAGAGCAATGACCACACCAAGGAGGAAGACAGTGTCCAAATTCAAAAGGAAGTTCATACAGGGGAGGGTGTGGTGGGAATTGCTGTTAACGAGAAACCAAAGGAGAATCAGCACTTTCAAACATCTCCATCAAGTGAGGTAGGAAAAGAAGTGCAGAAAAATACAGAGAATTATGATGCAAATCAACAATCTTCTTCGAATGCATCCCCCTACAACTCAAAAAGTGAAAGATTGGAAAATGCAAAATACACACAAATACACGAAGTATCAGGAGATTTGTCGCAAATGAAACATCTCAAGGCGACCCCTTTATCTGGAAATTACAAAGAAGCAAATAACCATTATCAACATAGGGGGAAATCCGCCGAGAATCCACTTAGTGATCGTCCTGTGGAACAAGTGCACCAAATCTTGGTAACAGGTAAAACGCAAGAGAATTTTGCTGGTAACGTAGATGGTACTGGTCCGTTTGCTGGGGAAGAGCAAGTTAACAACAAACTGTCCGACAAAATTAATGTCAAATCGTACGACGAGGAGTCAAACCTGTTAGTTTCAAGTGTTTATAATCAAGGACGATTTGTAGAAAAGCAGGGATATCGCGTTGGCGGGCAACAACACCACGAATTTCATTCAAATATTACAACTGGACCTACTGAATATGAGAGGCCAGCGAATTCATTACACCAACCAAGCATGGATGAACTTCCCAAAGGTGTGGAACCATCTGAAAAAGAGTCAGGGACCTCTCCTGCTTTATCAAATGGTTTCGGGACCAACGAAGAAATTTCCAAACTCGGAAATAAAAACATACAGTTACAGAGTGAATTCATCCCAACTTCAACTGCCATAGACGCTGAAAACGGCAAAGTAGATACCTCGTACGAACAACTTGGTCGGCAACCTTTACATCAAAATCATGAGCACACGGAAGGGGCAAGTGGGCCACCGAATATGAATAATCACGCTAACACAGGGGATCAGAACTCTCGCGTCGCTCTTGAGTCAAGGAAAATACCGATTGAGAAAACGAATGAATCCATGACAATGCCCTTACAGAGTTCTACTCAAAATGAAGGGGATTCTCGAGTAGACGAATTTATCAATCAACTGCGACCCCATAAGATAATAGAAAGTTCATTTGATCAGGAGCTCACGCGCAAGATAACGACAGGACCATCGCAAGGAGAAAGTAACCATGCAACTCCTATGCAAAGTGCTATTCCTGATAATACATTTTCTGTTGAAAAATCAGAAGAACATGATTCATCAAATATAACACCACCTTCACTTCCATTTCGAGAGGGTAGTAGCCCAGCAGAGTCAAGTAATCGGAATGAGGACTTGACCAAAGACCAGAGAGAACAGTCAGTTGAAGGATCGCGTACCAACCCTGAGGCTTCAAATACTAACCACAATGAAATAGAAACACAGCAAGATATATCACAACAAATGTTCCCGGCGAGTGCAGTGGACGCCCCACCGCAACACGAAGATACCTCTACGAATGATTCTTTCCCACAAAAGGAACAGGAGGAAACATCACAAAGTAGTGTTGAACATGAACGTAATAAAAATGAAGAATCGAGCGCCAGTTCAATCAACTCTCTAGGACAAGCGTCTATTCCAAATGGAGCTACTAATGAGATATCGTCTTCACGTCCATACGGGGAAGGAAGCATTTCGACGGCTTTTAGTCATCAGAATAAGGAATTACCAAATGACCGCAGCTCTGAAGAATCTGAGGCAATGAGACAGAAAGGAACACTTGATAAACTGCCGGATCATGAAAGTACATTTGCAAACGGAGTTGACTCGCCTCAACCACAGGAGGCGCTAGAAAGTAGCATTGCGCCTGGGGTTGACACAAACGTTGCGTCGAGTGACAGTTCAGTCAAGTCACAAGGACACACAGAAAACCAAAGAGAAGGTGATAAAGAGGAGCAGTCTTCGCTTTCCGATCGGGAGGGTAGTAATCCGAAGATGTTTGGCCATGAAAATGGGGAATTGCAACAGAACGTAGAGCAACAGCCAGTCGAGGCATCTATATCAAGCTCTGAGGCAGGTAGTGAGGCAGGAGAAGATTTTCCCTTGAGAAGCAGCCAAATGGAAGGAACAAAGCAGAAAGATACATCAAACGGGGTGTCTTCAACAGATTCAGACAACGGTGCAAACCTGAACCAAGAACAACAGCCCGTAGACTCATTGCAAAGTAGCACGGAACATCAAACTGCGACTAATTTTGGTTCTAGTGACACGTCAGATCAAAATGAGTCGTTAGAAAAAGAACAGAGACAGCAGTCAGATGAAGCATTGCCGCCCGTCTCAGAGTCAAATAGAGTTAGGCCTTTGAGTAGTAGTAACATGGATTCAACAACGCAAAGTGAAACATCAGATCACATGCTTTCATCGAATAAAGTCGATAACAAACCTGATCATGAAGACAGGTTCATCAACGATGCAAGTTTACACCAAGAAGAACAAAGTATGGAAATATCGCCAAGTGATGCCCAAAGTAGGCCTAATACAAGTGAAAAACCAGTAGAAAGCTCACAAAACTCGCCAAGACCAACTGGATTAGGTTATAAGCCACATGAAGTTAATGTTGGAACCCCAGAAGAAGGTAACGTGATGCCGGTAGCGGACAATTCTAAAGAATTAATCGAAGGGCAGAAACTAATGCCTTTTTTGGGAATAAGAAACGACACAAGAGAACCTTCTGAAGAAAGGCAGAACAGCCAACTAAATAAAGAAAATGAACACGACAACAGAAATCAAAAGATTGTTTATTTTTTAAAGATGGCAAAGGGTATTCCACTTTTGAACAGTCGAAAAACGACCCATTACGTGGAGCACAGAATAGATAGCACCCCGGAAAGGGGACCTGAAGTGAATGGTCGGAGAAGATATCCTTGGAGCTGGCAATATAACCTGAGACGTCCTAATAGACCAGCATGGGGACAAAGGCTTAGAAGACCAAGGCAAGGACGACGGCCAAGGTATAGGTATAGACCAACACTTGCCCAACCTAGTCCATCCCCTAGCCCATCGATTGGTGGAGGCGGCGCCCTTGGTGGAAGCAGTACCAATTCTAACGAGCCACAGGGTAAGCATTTTCCATTTCCCTCATTCTCCCATAACTGTAGTTAGAGATAATATAAAATGTGTGCACGTTATCGAACTAAAATGAAAAAAAAAAAAAAAAAANCCCACCGATCTGAATAGTGTTGAAGGTTAAGATAAACTATTTTAATATTTTTCATCAACGCTAGAAAACTTCTAGCAGAGCTGTCAAGAGATTAGCCGTGAAGCTACATTAAAATATAACTCCATTTTAAATAAAAAAAAAAAAAAAAAAAAGAAAAAAAAAAAAAAAAAAAAAAAAAAGAAAAAAAAAAGCGAGGAAAAAAGAGGAAACCATCGCCATGTAGCGAGGAATGACCTCGACCAGCCTGAGCTGCTCCTTGTTACCAGACTGGTTCATTTGATGATTGTCGTGGAATTAACAGTTTGGACAAGAATGAAAACAACAGAAGTTTTACAAAAACCCTTAAATTCATGTGATTGTGCATGTAAATGTTCGTTCGTCTCATTTAGGCATTTTCCATCCAATTTATGTTTTTTCGTGTGATCTTTAAGACTGTTGTTTAGTACATATTATTTATCTAGTAATTCGTTTCCTTATTCGGCATTTTAAAATCAATTTATTTCAGGAACTACAGTGTACCAGGAAATCAGAATTCATGTGAACTAGTGATGTAAGGGTAATAATCATTACACATTTGTTCATGTCTTTCAAAATAGGTGATTCAGATTTTGAGGAAGAAGCTTTAAAGACGCACAACAAATATCGCAAGACACATGGAGTTCCAGACATGTCTTTAAGTCGAGATCTTTCTAACCAAGCTAAGGCATATGCACAGAAGATTGCAAATATGGGACAGCTACTGCATTCCTCTCGGGCAGAAAGAGGAGAGTCGGTCGGCGAAAATTTGGCATACGCGTGCTCTTCTAACGGCACTCCCCTGACAGGAGAATCTGCGACTAAGATGTGGTATGTTCTGAAACATTTATAGTATTTTTCAGTTCTTTGATACTAGTCAAGATTACTTTACCAGCACTTCTGCCAGGTTAAATTAACGATGATTATACAGAACGCAGTACCTTGAGCGATAGCTAGTACACCACATGCACAGACTCTAGAAGTAAAATACATTAAGACATTCGCAGAGGGGCTTCAGAGTGTAACTGTTCATATACTTCAGCATTATTTTCTAACGAAGACTTGTTTTGTTATGCCACATTAAGGTACGACGAGGTCTGCAAACCTGGTTACAGATTTCCTGATGGCGGATTCAGTTCTGGCACTGGCCACTTTACCCAGGTGGTATGGAAGGACAGCACTAAGCTTGGCATAGGACAGGGAAAGGCAACACAGAATGGCATGCCATGTATCTATGTTGTCGGGCGTTATGAAATCGCGGGTAATATGATGGGGGAATTTCGGGACCAAGTGCTAAGAGGAAACTTCAACGAAGAATATTGCAATAACGTTAAGAAGTAGCTATAACAACATCTGTGTTCATAGCTGAAAATTTAAGTTTGCCATAAATTTGCATCTAGTCGTAAGAACGTAAGATCGCTTTCAGCAGATAGAATGATTGAGATTGACTCATTTTAGAGGTTTTAAATCACCTTCTTATGCATTATTTCCCAGGCTGCCTGAAAAGACTAATAAGGAAATGTGTAAATTTAAAAATAACTGTAATTAAACAAATTTTGTGGTCAGTTGAAGTCTCTCCGTAGCGGGCGCTGCACCTAATGACATTAGGCCTGCTTTGGAGATATTTATTTATTTGTTTCTTTTCGCGGTACTTTTATTTTAAATAGTCATTTTGAAATTGAGTGCTGCTTATCAGAATCTTAAAAATCCAAAAATGTTTTCCAGTTTGATGCTTAATCCAGATGCAATCTGTAAATCTGCAGCCTGCAGTACAATTATGAGAAAACTGTATTTTTTTCTGAGTGGCTCAAACCTGTTCTTAATCAGTGTAAAGAAATATTGTTATAAATAAATGTAAAAGAAATGAAATGAATAAATTTGCTTTATAATAAATATTGGAGATGAAAGGTATAGTGACTGTTGTGATATTCTTACGGAAGCAGAAGTTGTTATTACAATCCTTGTACCATAATGGACAATTCCCACCATGAGACGTGCCTGGAGGGAATCATGGTAGTTGTATTCATCTTTTTGGATTGGGTATTTCTTTTTCAGGAATACAACTACCATGATTCCCTGCGGCTCGCCGGTCTCATAGAGGGAATTGCCTGTTAGTCCTCCGCCCNCCCCCCCCCCCAAAAAGAAAAAAGAACTGCGCGAGTGTGCGGTGATCGCATGAGCAGGCACGAGGCTTTATTATCCCCAAACAAGCACGTGTAAAGGATAATGCATAAAGACTCTAAGGACGGACCCGTCCTCAGCTTCGCTGGAGGAATTTAAAAATGCAACAATCACAGGTTATTTTCGATTTGCGTTTGAGGAAAACTGGGGTAAGGAGATCACTTGATAATCATGACTACATTCTTTTCGAAAAGCTCCGTTTTCAAAATGTTTTCCGTCGACACGACAGCGAAAAAGCCATCGTTTTCGAATTTCTCTTCCTTGAACAGCGTTTTCGAAAAGCTCCGTTTTCGTGACGGATTATTGTGGACAATAGGCCTAACCGTAGAAATAAAGCTGCGTTATCAATTTTCTCCGGCGTAGTGTGGACGCCGCCAGTTTTTAAGAACTGATTCAGTAGCAATTTCGTAGTTGTTTATCTCATACACTAGCCCCGACACTCGTACACGACCACCTGTCCTGATTAGGTCGCTGGAGGAGCAACTCCACAGGACATAATTTTAATTTCACTCAAGGTTAGTCCTTTTTCACCAGAAAATTAATTTCTCGGTGTGAATCATTTTACTCTTACTGACTGTCACACATTTCTCCGGTTTATGTATTTTTTTCTACCACTGATATCCTGAACCCTGGTTCACGTTATTAATCATCCGCTCGTAATGCAGGTTTTATCCATCTTGCTTTTTTGCCATATTGCCCGTACCTCGTCTTGACGCAGCATCAAGTCACATCTTGCTTTCCCTCGACCTCGTAGTACAGTCAATTAAGCCGCAACAGAAAGTCTTCTCCACACGCCCAGGTCAATTGAAGTTTTTTTTTTTCTCAGCAACACACATCCGCCATAAAGTCACGAGCTATCGTTGGTCGAATTGAAGTTGGATTTGGAAGTATCAGTTCAGGCCGGTGGTGATGGGGGGAGGGGGACTGAGAGACCCACCAACTTTGAACGCTAGTAACTTTAAAGCCATTAAAGGCATGGCTTTTCCGAGTTGAATTTTATGGCCCTATTCTCCCAGAGGAGAGCCAGGACTAGTGATGATTTAGTTGAATTTGTTCATATGATTGGTTAAGAAACTTGAAATCGAAATGAAAATGGTCTCGTGCCAATCGCTTGTTTCTCCCTATAATAGACTACACGGGGAGACCCCGCCTGAAAGGGGCACCTTTTTCGAACTTGAGGTATATAAAAGAGTAGGGAATTCACCAGTTGAGGTATACAACAGGGTAGGGGAACTGAGTAAATGGTACTTGTCCTTTAATAATGGTTAACATCTCTTCTGGCAATGTTTGATGTTTTCCTGTAGTATTGTTTATTAAATTCATTCCAAGGGTTTGGAGAAAGGCTGCAGTGTTCTTTAGCTAGGTGAAAGGGGTACCTTTGCTGTATAAAATTCAAAGTTTTATACAAAAGGGTAAAGGGTTGGACTCTGGGGCGGAGCCTCCCAGTACAAAACTTTGTAGAGTACCCCCGACCACTAGCGCCAGTTTGGAGAATAACTGCACAGTAAAATCCAACGATCAAATTTTAATAAACTCCCGCCATATTTAACCGTATCACGGATATAGACTTATGCGTTGTCATTTTAGTCATAATAAAGCCCCCTATCTTGAGAGACTTGGATCATATATGACAACTGTCGGACTACTCCTGTTTTTTTCACACAGAACCTCTTCAATAAGTTCTTTCACATTTCGTAGATAGTCAGAAATCATGGGATATACTTTAAATGTACCCCGACCATAAGTGCCTTTGTAAACGCAGCATCCCATATTCTTTTTAAAATTAAAATCCCTTACGATAATAATTTCTTCGCCATCTAAAAAAAAAGAAGCACAAGGTCCGTGTATTGTCAGATTTGTATGGTATATCATGTGTTTTCTTTTTTCTCCTTCATTTTGTGTGGCCAATTTTTGACTCGTCCTGCAATATCACTGGAATAAACTGCTTGAGTGTTAAACAGGATAAATTGGCAGGTTTGAAAAGTACGAGAATTCTTCAAGCGTTAAAAAGTCCTTGACATACCCGTATCTTGTTAGTCTAGGCATGAGATAATTGTTTCAACTTGTAGGTCTTCAAGGGTTTTGCATCTAGTACGATGCATATTTTATATTACTGTTGAAAAATAATCCTAACCCTCGGAAAATTTTTCAGAAAAGTAGAAAGGAAACAATAGGAGGACGTGAACGACCGTTTATACTTCATTGCCAGTTGTAAACAAGGCCGTGTTTACTCGCTGACATTCACAGGTTTGTACTGCAAGAAACTGTTTACTGAGGCAATACCATTTATTTGTATTAGGAAACAGTACTTTGGTTTTTCCTTTCTTAACGTTGTCTAAATTAGAAACTAAATCCTTTATCTTTTTTTGTTCATCGGCACTTTGTATCCTAACTCGAACTGAAGAATTGAACTTGAAGCTAGACGAAGTTTCGGCATTTCCAGCATTACTTTCCGGTCATGAGACGGGCGGTGAAACGATACATGTAACAAAGTTGATCATCGCTGAGCTTTTTGATCAACAAACAATTTCGATAACCAGCGGATAATATCAACTCTTGCAATTCTAACACGCACGCTGGNGAAATTTAATTTCTCTTCTTGAGCGCAATAGCACACAATTGATCTTTCTTCACCATATTTAAACAAACTTTTTGGTCCATTTGAGGGTATCCTACCCCCTTAAATTAAGGTCTAGAACAGTTTAGTCGTTGATAAGACAAAGCCGAGCTAGTAATCTTTGGTTAACTAACAATTCTTTCACGCTTTTGCGTGCATCATCGAGTTGTTCGAGTCCCTCTAGCTATCTAAGGGCATTATAAATGTCGATGATGCAAAGCTAAAGCTATGACTCAGCTCTTTCATAAAATTACCAATGGAAATAAATTTCCTTCGCGGAGAGAAGATAACTTACTTCACGCCATGAGTTTGACAGCACGACTTTACTAAGGCGCTTTGCTGTTATGTTGTAAGCATGTTATCATCTTGTTAATGCAGGCGAAGAAACATATCTGTACAGTATTTTAACAAAGCATTTACTCAGTAAATTCTTATACACATTTTGTTTAAAGAATATTTCCCTACCCTTTTGTCTATACCTTCTAATATTAGTATTTTGGTTCTGTTTTGGGCCTTGTAGTGATCGAGGGCTTAACCCTACCTCACAAAGGACACCACCACAAGAAGAACGACTTACTCGGTGACAGAAGTACTGCACATGGTTCTAAGCACCAGCATAAGCCGTGTGCAAGACACCACTCACCAGCGCATGTTGTAGCAACCGGTGCACAGCGAGAAACGGTCCCCACTCCACTTCAAGATTTTGTTCTCTTGAGCGGAAGTCCTCTGTTTCATGAACGACCCAGAGCAAGCGATATTAAAGCCAACATCACAGATGCTACAGCTGTGGGAGCCACGGATCAGAAAGCACCTCAAGGAACTCAAGAAAAAGAGGCAGCTGTCAATCAAACGATTACCAAGTTACAGGGACCAGAGCCATTGTCCAATCAGCAAGGGGAAGCCATCCAACAACATCAAGAATCGGTTGGTACTACTGACCTGCTTAAAACTGAACAGAAGCAAGTCAACGGTACGGAGCAACATCCAATGAGTGAATCAGAAGAATCTTCTAAAGCACAACTAGCGTTATCTCAGGAGCTGCCACAAAAGATGAAAGAAGGTCTCAACCAAGGGAAAGACCAAGAAAAGCTGACCAACGGCACCATTTCTAAGGCGCCAGGTGTAGCCATAACAGTAAAAACTCCTGCTAGACCTACCTCACCCAGCGGAGTAACGATAGGCCTGGGAAATAACTCTTTGGCCAACGGTGACCAAGAGAACCCTACTGAAGAAAATGCCCCCAACAAAATCGTCACAATCGCAGTGAATGGGCAAAATGTTGGGACGAATTACAAAGCTACCAGTCCAAACGAAAACCAGACTGACATCTCCGTGGCCTCGAACATAAAGCCTGAGTCGGAAAATCAAAACATTGACGTTGGACATTTCCCTTTCAACATACCTGGAATACGAAATTACGGAAACGGGAAAAACGACAGCAAAGTGGCTGAAGCTTCGAAACTGATAACTGATAAACAAACGAAACTGGGGCTCCACGAAAATCTCGGGCCCAATTGTCACTGGAAAACCACTAAAGGAGCGAACGGTGCTGTTATTACATCTGTAGCTTGCTCCGGGGAGTTCCATAAACCCGAGGCTGACAACAAAGGAGGCTTGGGAGAAGTAGGCCAGAAGCCGGGACAAGCAGAACGATTCGGAAGTAAACAAACGAGTGCCAAATTACTTACTTCACCCATGAAGGCTGAAGGAGGGGAAAAGGAAATGCAGTTGCAAAGTAAGCGAATGATGAGAACGCTTGGTAAACACTGGTTATGAAAATAATGATAGTCATAATTCCAAACTAAAGCCATCAAATCAGCCAATAAGCCAATTAGGGCTCGAGGCCAAAACAGGCAACGACTCTGAAGTTGTAAAACCCTGAAACCCAACTGGCGAACTAACCAAGTCATGGCTGAGTTTTTGCTTTGCTAGCTGACTTGAACTGAAAGTTACAGAATGGCAAAACAAATACTTTCTTTGGCCAATTAAAAAATATTCTAACGGCTGAGTCTTAAAGTACTCATAGTTTACGTTAATTGGAACGTTCTTGGGGGCTAACTGGTCGAGAGCTGTGGTCCATGATAGTACAGAACACGAACATGATTTAACCTATGACGCAATTCAAGGGACTGAGAACTTACAAATTGCCGCAAACTTTCCAAGAAACCGGAACCGTCAAGTTCTGAAATGCCAACTGGGAAATTTGGCGCGGAATTTTCGAGAAACTCGTCGGCTTCAAGCGAAAAAAGTGATCTCAAGAACTACAGCGCGCCCTGGTAAATTTTTGGTGTTATTGTGACCACATTTTTCGGTCCATGCCCTAAAATCTTATAGACAATAGATGCAAGGTCGCTTGTCGCTCGTGGTTCCACTTGAGTTTTGAAAATATTATGACGTCATTTGGTATGATATAATTACATAATTATACATATATTTTTAGGTGATAAGGAGTTTGAAGATGACGCAGTTACCACAACCAACGCTTTCCGTAAGATACATCGAGCACTCCCAATGAAGTTAAGCCCCGAGCTTAGTCTTCAAGCTAAAAAGTATGCCGAGAAGATCGCCAGCATGGGATCACTTCAACATGACTATGTTGCTGTGAAACACCTGGACGAAGGAGAGAACCTTGCGATGGGCTGCAAGCAATATGGAGTACCTCTTACTGCAAAGGAGGCCATAACGAACTGGTGATAACATTTTTACTGTAATGTATTTTCTCTTCTTTCTCCTGAGTATTAAAAAAAATGTTACCGAGAGGAGTGCTCCTTTCGTGCCGTGGGTCAAATTCAGTCTAGTTCTGTTGCCCGCTTCCTTTTACGCCTCATGATATACCATCAAGTTATTCTGACTACCCTAAGACGAGACATTCAATTTAAATAGAGGATGCGTCAGTCAGACATCTGACGTAGATGTATTCTGTCTAATACCATAATCTGTATTCTTGCATATTACAACTATCGGTTAGTCTAACAGTTTGAACCTGTGTTACGCCAGATCCAAAAATAAAAACACTAAAAACCACCCTTTAGATGTGGCAACCAAAAACTATGTGAAAACGTATTACTCGTCTATTGCAGCAGCACGAGACACCAACGAAAGGGAACAAAATTATTAAGGAAGAACAATTTACTGTCATATATGCATACAAGATGTTAAAACAAAGCTTGATAAGACTGTTAGATCGACTCAGAATGACTTAAATCTCCCACCAAAAGCCTACATACTCTCTAAACGTGCCATGACACCCCGCGAGCATCTCCATCGTGCCATCAGGAATTGCATTTTTCGTGATATATCTGGCTCAGCCACTATATCTTTTCTCTTTGTCTCTATTCAGGTATAATGAGGTATGCGCTTATGACTTCAATCGAGGAGAGTTTAGCATGTCAACAGGGCATTTCACTCAATTGGTGTGGTCTGACAGCACCGAGTTCGGGATAGGAATGGCACCTGGTCAGCAAAACGGAATGCCCTGCGTCTTCGTTGTGGGACGCTTTAAGCCGTCTGGAAATTACAAGGGAGAGTACAAGAAGAATGTGTTTAAAGGGACTTTTGACCCGAGCTACTGCGATAAACTTCGAGACAAAAAGCTATTGTAGGACCCAAGACCACCTCGCCAATATTAACATGTCTGCGTTTAATTAACAAGTCGATGAGAGTAAAAAAAAAAAAAAGAATGTAATCTTGTATTACCGCTAAACGTAAGAAGGGCTCGAATATTGAGCCATAACTTTTAAAAACATCGATCGCTTCAATGTAAACTCGTTAAATCTGTAGACCCATTATTAAAGCTGTGTAAATTTTAATTAGTCTCTGCTTTTTCCATAGTAACTATGAATATGAGAGCAAATAAAACAAGTTCTGCGTGAGAGAGTCCTATGAGAGAGTTTTATAAGCGTTTTAAACTTTTTCAAAAAGTATGAACTACCTTGTTTTCCAAATAAGCTTAATAGGAATTTTGCGACCAGCACAGCTCCGAGGCAATTTTGCCCAATAGGGTGATCTTAACAGTATTAAGCTCGAGGCGAAGGTACGCACGAAAAACGGAGGAATTCAGAAAATTTAAGATGATTTCTCGCCAATCATTTGTGTTTTTCTTTTTTTTCGCGCTGGCAGAAACTAGGTGATACTCGGAGGCACAGATGAGAGGATAGAAAGCCTGCAGAAGAATCCCTCGGTTCACTCTTGCACATATTCAACGACACTGGAATTTTAGAACCTAACTAAGCAGAAAGTCATCATCAATTCTCTGCCCGTCAGCAGGCGCATAAGGCAGAGCGTACAGTCTTGTAGTGATGTTCGTCTCGTGAATGGCGACTGGTTATATTTAATTTCGCCCAAACTCTTTTACTTCAAGATCTCGTTGCTTAAGCATATTCTGCACTGACCTGTTTTCACGGCAAGCTTAACTTTAGATCAAATGAGTACATGATTCCGTCTCCATGACAGAATCGTTAATGAGGGCGTTTCAAGATCAGAATAACCGAACAGAACGGCACCAGTTTTGTTAATCTTTATGAGCGTAACAACCTTTAAATTCAGCGTATGATTTGTGTAGCCAAACGTTACTACATGTGGGTGAAGTGCTGGGTTTAAGACTTTTCATGTGTTTCTCTGACAGCCATTCCTCAGCAGCGCTATTGTTTGTCTTGCCCGAAGACATATTGGCATGAAACCAGAGCTCGAGCCATCAAATATCAGGTCTCAAGACGCAACCACTAACAACTGTAACACTGTACCCTCAATTTATTTAATTGTCAAGGGTGAAACGACATTTTAACACGCGGTACGCTAGAATTGGCAATAATTTAAAGCCACGGTAATGACCTTGCCAGAATGAAAATGATTGCGGCGAATGTAAGTCTTTAATTTGGCAAGATAAACAATTGTTCATGTATTTTCTTACATGCAGTGTCCTTGGCTATAAGAAAATTGACCAGTGATTTATTTTTTACATTTTCAAAGATTTTATTCTCAGAACTACACTCAAAAACCTATTGGTATCCTCCAAAATACCTGTGATCAAAGTTAAAACCAATTCTCTTACCCTAGACCGTCGGTTGCTAACAAGAGAATTATAGCGCTCAGTTACATATACTGTTAGATGCCAAGAACACCCGCTGTGAACATTTCAAGGCTTGTCGACCCGAGGAGATTATCACGATGACTTTCTTGGGTGAACGCGAAAAGAAAAGGAAGAAAGATTAGCTGAATGTAATCGCTCAGGCTATTCAAACAACTAAAATTCCAAATTTGATTCGCGAGTTTGCTCTTATGAAGATCTTTGAATACAAAGACGCCTTTTACCTGTAAGTGGTCACTTCTCACAAGTAATTGAACTCATATCCGCTATCTCCGGTTCCTGAATTTCCTTCAGTACGCACCAGTGGCACAAAAGTTGTCATAAATCTAACAGAGAATCTACGAAACTTTTCCAAGTGTACAAAATTCGTCAATACGTTATGAGCAATGTAGTAAAACGGTAATGAAAGTGATTTTTAATCTCTTACTTTATGTGGTAAATGATTGTTCCAGGAATTTGGCTTAGCTACAAATCCTTCAGTCGCAAGAATATCAAGTCAACATATTGTAATCTCCATTAGTGTTTCTTTCGCTTCTCAGAGCAGTTTCTAAATCAATATCAACCTGCAGTCAAGTGCCCAAATGAATCGTGAACCTCAGGATTAGCTGGTATTAACTAGTACTTAATTGTTTAAGCTGCCCAGAACACCCGCTGTGTATATTTCAAGGCTTGTTGATTTGATGAGATGCGTCGCGATGCAAATTCACGGTAGCGGTTTTGTAGATTGCATGTCGACCCGAAAATACCAAGAAAAAAACCCCGTGAAATGTAACAGAACAAGAATAAGAGTGATGGAATTTTAATTAATATGAACGTGCGATCTTATCATCCAGCGACTAAACATGAGGACACTTTTGAAATTTAGAGTGAGCTCCACTTTGTTTTGTCTCGTTAACATACTACTCACAGGTAAGTTCGTCAGACAAGTGAAAGACCTTACAGGAATAGTAGGTAAAAGATCAAAAACGTAATTAAAACAGGTCAGTTATTAGATTTCTTTCAAACTAATAAAATTTTCTGGTCCAGTTATGGTTTAGTTAGCACACGTGTACTTATTAGCGGTTGCATATTGTGGAATCGAACAAGACACTACAAACCTTCTTGAGTCGCATTGTAACTGAAATCTCTTACAAGGGCGATTCATATATCCCTCTCAATTCTGAAGCGACACTTTGATGAAAATGTTCTTAAAGGGCTCAGTCACAGTTTCTGCAACTTGAAAAGTCTAGCCTAAATGTTTCAAGTTCCTGTTAACCATCTTTGTTCCTTTACGATTCAGTATTATCTCTTTGGGGTTTTTCTATCTCAGTGAGCTACTATTTTCAGGTTTCCTTCAATTTAAAGGTAATTTGTACATAATCAAAATAATCCAAACTACCATGACTGAGCTCCTTTAACACCATCTTCACTCTTGATCTTTTATTGCCTCCATTTTTGACTTAACACTAGAGCCGATACTGCATCATGTTAAGGTGTATAACTGAGAAGTTTATATGACCATTTCCATGATTCTAGGATACGCCTATCATTTTAAAGAAACTGGTGGAGCTCGCCTTACAAACAGTGAAAGCGTGTTAAGGATTCCGTCGGTTTATCGTCTCCTGAAAGGCCTGAATGTAACAAGGCAAGTGATCTCAAGTGGCAACGCAGTGACTTTTAAACAGAGTAACAAGAATGTTAAATACGGTCTAGAGAGACGTCCAATGCTCAGTGCTCATGAGATGCTTCACAGAATATTGAATGCCAGAGTTTACCACGAGCAAGACGGTCAACTCTCAAGAAAATTCCAATCCAGAGACAGCGATGAGCAAAAAGGGAGTTTTAAGATTTCCGACAAGACTGTCAGTGGAAAAGGTGAATATGCTATATCATCTGATCAGACAAGTGTTGGAATAAAATTGAAACTAAGAATAAATACACAGCAGCTCCACCAGCAGCAAAAACAGCAGCAACAGCCAAAACCAACCATGCCTTCAACTCCAATGTCCACAACACCTCAAATGTGCGTGGTCCCCTGTAACACGAAATTGAAGGCTCAAGCAACAAATTGTATTTGTAAGTAGATGTTCAATAACTGTGCTTCGCATTCATGCTGCTTGCGTAGTATGAATTCAAAGGAATTAGGTATCATGAATTGTCACCTTGTTCTATTATATTGTTTGTTGACTTTGACATTGAAAAGTTACAATGTAAGTTATGTCCTCTGGCGTGCTAAAAATTCTGCCGACATAAGTTTCGACTATGATGTTGATGAGGTGGGCTTAATGGGACTCATTAATGCTAAAAGTGCTCAATATAGTCAGATCCTAGTTTTCGTTTCTTGCACGTTGCTCAGTGCTGCATGCCACTGCTGAATTTTGGCCATTTTCGGGAAAATTGGGTTATTTGTGATCTGCACGAACGATACCGTTCAAAAATCTTCGGAAGCCCTTGCATCATCTTTCGTGCTGACAAACTTCAGTTAAATTTTGAATACACCAGTCAAACGGGTTAAAGGAAAAAAATATGTCCTATAAACTTTCACAATCTAGGGAACTGTAGACGACTCATTGGTCAGTGAGCCGAACGCTGGATCGAACGGTCCTGTTTTGTGCCCTGGCAGGGTTCATTGTGTTGTGTTCTTTACTAACTCTCACATAGCGTCTCACTACCCATATATGTGTATCATTAGGTACAGACAAACTGTAGAGGCACCCTGACAGAATGCGAAGGAGTAATCTGTCAGGGCTGCTTTCGTGCTACAGAGCCTAGAGTTACTGGGCACGAGAGGCTTTACTTCTCCTTCCCAGTTTAAGTAAGTATACTTCCTTTGGTTGTAATTTAAATAAATTCTCCTTCAGCTACACAGTTTGAACAAGAAGCCCTCAACATCCACAATAGATACCGAGCCATCCACAATTCGCCCGCTATGACTCTGAACTGTCAAATGAGCGAGGACGCCGCTGCATATGCGCAGAAACTAGCCGAAATGGACACACTTGTGAAATCTAGTTACACTGAAAGACCAGAGCAAGGAGAAAATCTTTCCCTTGGTTGCTATAAAGATAGAGAGGAGACAGCGGAGGAAGCAGTAAAAATGTGGTATGTAAATGTGATATTATCAAACTGGCAATCATCGCTTTCCGCCCAGTTGTGTTTTAGGCGCCGACCGGTTAGCTCAGAGGGCACCGGACTACTGTGCGGGAGGTCGCGGGTTCAAATCTCGGTCGGACCAACACGCAGGGCCTTTAAATAATTGAGGAGGAAGCGCTGCCTTTGTAATGACATCTGCAAATGGTTAGACTTTCTAGTCTTCTCGGATAAAGACGATAAACCGTAGGCCCCGTCTCACAACTCTTCATAATTAATTCTGTGGAACG